ATTCATTGAAAATCTCCGCAGAAGAGAACCATTGATCTTCTACTTCTATTTATAGTTTAAATTCTGCTTGGTGTTCTTTATGAACGAACCTCTTCACCATCATGTAGAAAGTTGTGTTCTCAAAAGAAATGTTTTAAAAATAGAAAAGATTTGAAAATCAAACACAAGCATTTTCATATTTCACATTTATTGCAAGTTTATTTTTGTAATTAGTATTAATTTGCTTTAGGCATAAATCGCATAGCAAAACAAAGTTACAATTACAAAATCTCAGCAAAAACACAAACAAATGTCATTTAATTACAAAAAAATGTTAATTGCAAGCGCTTGCACGCTACCGTGGCAACAAAGAATAGCAATAATTATTTTTTCATTCATAAAATAATTTATGAATGAAAAAATAATTATTGCTATTCATTCATAAAATAACGTAAAAGCAAATTTAAATGTTTGAATGACTGGTTCATTCAAACATTTAAATTTGCTTTTACGTTTTAACTTCAAGCAAGCAGTGACTCCAGTTTTCTTGATTTTTAAATTTCTAGTACCAGTTTGTTGTAATAAAAAAAACATTCTTGTTATTAAACGTATTTAATTTAAGTTTTAATATACGTATTTAATTTACGTTTTAAATAAAAGCAAGCAGTAAAGTAAAAAAATCTATTTCCCTTGTTAAATAAATTTCTTGTACCAGTTTGTTATAATAATAAAACATTTTTTGTATTTAACTTATATTTCAAAGTTGGTCTTTTAAAAAAGTTAGTTGAGAAAAGATAGTAGATAAGTAAAAAATGATTTTAGTCAATGCAATCACGTAATTCAGTTGATTTAAAAACAAAAAAAGAGAACTAAAAGAGAACTAAAAGACAATTAAATCCGTAATTCAAAATTTCAAATGTATCTGACATAGGCGGCTTCTTGTTATTTTTGTTGACAAATCTTTGTTGAAAAAATTTTTGTTGACATGCACTACTTAAAGTAGAGTTTGCGGTAAGATTTAATAAGTTATTAAACTTTTCAGCCAAAAAGGGAAAAACTTTCAAAAAAATAGCATTTGTGGATGTTAAACCAAACAAGTTTGTTATTTTTTTAGATTGTACTCTATTTCTTACTATCTTTTTTAATATATTGAAAGGCATCGCAAAAAATTATTTGCGAGTTTTGAGAAATAAATTTTACAAGCAAATTGTCGAGATCAAAATCCCTAAAATTGCTGGGAAAATCCAAGTTCTCAAGAAGTTTTCTCTAATAGACATTTTCATTTTCATACGCAATTGCATAGTTTTTTATGTTATTTTCCTATTAGTTTTTAAAAGTAATTAATTTTCAATAATTTTTAGAATTATTATTCAACTTTAATTTTGAAAACTTTATTTGGATTGGGAATTTGAATTTTTTGATATATAATATGTAATCATTATGTGTAGTTATAAATACAAAAAAAAGTTTGGCATTATACATAAAATTACTCCATATACGGAACAATTTGTAATAATTACTACTCAAAATGTGAAATAACTTCATTGCAACCATGGCTCAGTGATTTAAGTTCTTTCTCAGAATCAAGAGGTCTGAGGTTTTATGTTGGCTCTGACCAGATAAGCGACATTTGTAAGGAAGGATGTGTAAACTTTCTAGTTAAATTGCTTTGTGACGCTTTGTTCTTCCACAGTGCTTTGTGACGCTTCGTTCTTCTTGGAGCACCTTAATAACTAAAAAAAAGTCATTGTAGGTGATTGTGGATTGTTGTTAGGACTTTCCAAGTTAAGTAGAAACTTTAAATTATTAGCTTATTTTTCTGTAGACATAAGACAATGTTTTTTTATATTTTTATCAATAATTATGGTTTTAAATAAAGTGGATTTTTTCTGCAATGACTTGTTTTTTTGTTATTACTAAAATAAACATCAATTTATCAATGTTTTTTGTCATTTAACATATCTTTCTTTTTTTAAACATGTTTATTTATATCTGATTTGCAAGTAAATGGGCCGCCTTGTAATTTCAAACATGCTAAGATGTAATATCTCTTGGACACCTAATGTAAAGCTTACAGTTCATTTTTTGCTAACTTACTCTGTCTCAGTTGTTTCTGTTACTGGTTCTAACTGTATTTTATATTTTTAAACTTTTTAACAATGAGACACATTTCCAAAAATATTTCTAAATTACCTAAAGCTTGATTTCACAATGGTTTTGATATTTAAGTATATTACCAAAAGGAATTTTTGTAATCCACAGTATTTCTGAAGATGATTGCAATGAGTGCCATACTGACGCTTAAGTTCAATGTTATTTGTAATTGTTTTATAAATTGCAAAAACCTGATTATAAAAAAGTAATACATCAGTTACTCCATTATTGTATCTTTTTTCCAAACCCATAATACTTTCTTATTTTTTGTTAAAGAAATATAGCTAAGTTTTGCTTAACTATTTGCAAGAATGATACAATCATCCAGGTTTTTTGATGCATATACACAAACTACTTCTACGACTACTGAGCAGTCAATCTTATTTAATGAAATTTTTTGAAATAAATTTTATTGTTGGCTTTATTAAAGACAAGTACAAAAACAACCCTGAGTAAAAAATTTTGTATTCATAAAATTGGTCTTTTACTGGGAGATTTCTAAAGAAGTTTATTAATTTTGGTTTATTTGTTTACTAGTTTATGATTTATTTATTTTTTTAGTTTGTTACTTCTTGTTGCAATATTTTTGATTTTAATTGGTATGAGGTCATCCATAAATTATGACTTATACAAAACTTGCTACTATAGTGTTACGATTTTGTGACAAGGGGGAGGCCAAAAACGGTCAAAACTTGCATGACGTAATTTATGGTCGACTCTATCTAAATTCAGTTTACAAAATTAGTATTTAAACAAAGTATTTTCTAGCAAAGTAAATCAAAACAAATTTTTACGCAAGATAAAGTGTTTTTTTAAACGCAACTTTTATTCATTTTAATTCAAAGTTATCCAATCAAAATTTAAATTGCATAAATTTTAACATAAAGTTGCACAACTTTACACGCAAAGAATATGCTGCAAAGATATCTAGTTTTTAAATACTTTTAAAATGCTAAAATTTGAAGTAGAAGGTCAACCACAAAAAAATAGCAAAAACTGAATTGTTTATTGAAATTTTATAAAAAAGTTAAGAAAAATTGGTTAAATAAAAAATATAAAATTTTGGACCCCCTATTACTGCATTAGATGCACAGACTTAACTAATTGATTACATAAACACATAATAAAAGTATCTCTAACATAGATGACAATTGTGTGACATTTCTCCTGATGTTTAATGCACTGACCTCAGTGTCAGCATTTAAACATTTTTGTTAGTTCATATCCTTCGCTAAGCAATAAAACATTTTTTAGTATTTTTCCACTACTTTACAGTTTTAACTCAGGCTTAATGGCTGCTATGAGTTCTCTTTAATTAATTGTCACTTGGCTGTGAGTTCTCTGTAATGCAATGCTCATTTTTTTGCTGTACAAAAATGCACAAAAGAGCATTTAGTTGTTTTATATATATATATATATATATATATATATATATATATATATATATATATATATATATATATATATATATATATATATATATATATATATATATATATTAAATGTATGTATATATGTTAAATGTATGTATATATATACATTTAATATATATACATACATTTAATATAAATATATATATATATATATATATATATATATATATATATATATATATATATTAAATGTATGTATATATGTTAAATGTATGTATATATATACATTTAATATATATACATACATTTAATATAAATATATATATATATATATATATATATATATATATATATATATATATATATATATATATATATATATATTAAATGTATGTATATATATACATTTAATATATATACATACATTTAATATATATATATATATATATATATATATATATATATATATGTATATATATATATATATATATATATATATATATATATATATATATATATATATATATATATATATATATATATATATATATATATATATATATATTAAATGTATGTATATATATTAAATGTATGTGTATATATTAAATGTAGCAAATCATAGCACAAAATTTGCTGGAAGAATTGCATTCTCTTTCTCTTCAATCATTAAATTTTCTCTGATAGATAATATTACTTATAGTATAGAGCTAATAGTAACATACTTTTGATCTTCCAAAAACTCTTGAGACAGCTTAAAAGGGTGTAATATATTTCTAGTATGCTTCACTATTTCCTCCTTCCATCGGTGAGGTTAGTTGTTATTCTTTTATGGACATCTTGAATTGTTTCAGTATATTAAATGCGGTAGTGGTGTAGTGGTAGAGCGCTCGCTTCATAAACGAGTGGTTCCGAGTTCGATCCCCACCACGTCCCTGGTAGTACCGCGCTCAACTCGTTTCTCTGCGCAGCGGCCTTGTTCGTCAAGGTTCGTGTTTCGGAGATATAGAGTTGAGAGAGGGTTATAGCCACAAAATAAGTAGCCTCCTTATCTGTAGTGGCCTTCTCGGCCTTGAGGAGGTGAAGTAAAATTAAAAAAAAAAAATATGTTCTTAATCTTAGAAGTTGTTTAGCTATAGAATAAGTTGACCCCAATTGAGTTAGTATATCTTTAAACCAACCATACTTAAATACTACAACTGCTGCAGAATACCTAGAATAGCTGTTTAAACTGCATTAAAAAAGCTATTCTAGATATTCATTGATTAGTTTCTTAAATACTTTTTTTTATATAATTTAATTATGAAGTAATTTCTCAAAGGCCATTATCACTTTCTCTTATTAAAGAGAAGCTGATTAAATTAAACCAATCAGCTTCGAGCTGAAGCTGAATTATAGCAATCCTTAAAACACACATTAATTTATAAAGTTTTATACTATTCATAAAATTTTTTTATTTTAGTCAGTTTTATTTTAGAATTTTTTCTTTTCTTCTAGCCAGTCCTTTTGATCTTAATTTTGAAGATAAAAACTTTCGCAAATGGCAATTTTCTGGATTTGCCATTAATAGAAATGAAAACAGCTTAACTGAGGGACCTTCTCGTGATGTTACTTCAGTTAATCAAGGAAAACCTTATGGTGAGAACTTTTTTAATTTCAATGATAATCAAATTAATATTTTATATTTTAGTATTTATGTTTATTTTAGATTATATATATATGTATACATCCAGTGTATTAAGTCATATACATGCAGTATATTAGCTTGTATACATAGAGCACATTAGTATATGCAGTATATTAGGTTGTATACATAGAACAGGTCGTATTTTGTGGTTTTGTGTTTAAAACTTTTTAATATTTAGAACGCTAAAATGTTAACTTTTTTTTTTCCTACTTTCTAATCAAAATTTAAAAAAATGCAAAATTTTGTTTTCATAAAAATTTTATGTATAAATTGATCATTTTATCTATATATTTACAACTATTTTATAATGTAATTAATGGTAATATAATAACATAATTTTTCCATTTTTTACAAAAAATTAGGCAAATTTTTTTTTACTTAATGTAAATTTATTTAAAAATTATTTTAATGGAGCTATCTTTTTAAATTCAATTCTATTGCTATAACTTTTAACAACTTTCTCTTCCACAAATCTACTTATGGATTGTTCTATCGTGCCAACAAATACTTTCACCTGATCATGTACCATAGTTTAAGTTTTTGTGTATGCTGAAAACTGCTTGTAATTAAATTGAAATTGATTCTGTGCCAACTGTTTTGAACTTTTTTTTTACTTCATAAAATGAATTGCGTAAAACTTAAAACTTACTTAAATGAACATTGATGTTCTTACTACTATCTTTTAACTTTTTTTTTTGTACTTTCTTTGCTATTCTTTCTAGTTTTACCTTATTTAAATAATTTTTGGATTTATAGTGTAAATAAAGAATCAATAGTTACACAAAAAGTAAAAAAAATGGAAGGGTTGCTATAACATTAATGTGGTTATATAAACATTTCTTAAAATGGGAGTAAAAAAGAAATAAAAAAAGTTTTCTAAAAAGAAATATGTTTTACAGAATTTTTCTATATTCCTGTGTCATCATTGGCTACTCAATGCAACTAAGGCCTGGTACACGTTTTTCCAAACAAAAATGTAAGTTTTTCAATTACAATATATTAAGTTTTTTATTAAAAAGTATGAAATATTTGGTATGTATGGAAAGATTATTTTAACCACTATTATAATCTGGTAAAAATAATGTGACTATGACAAATCGTCAAGCGTAGTTTTATTTAGAAAAGATGCAATTTTTAATATAAAGTACCTTGGGGCTTGGCTATAGATAAGTCTATGAATTTGATTTTTTCATAAAAGCATGTATTGGTGTGTGTTTTCAATGAATGTAACTTGACATTTCTAATCAGACATTATTTGGGAAAATTATACATGAAAAACCATTTTTTTATAAAAATTGGTTACTATTTTCAATACCACACCTAAAAGAGTATGTTTAACAATAATGTCATGTTAGATTTAGATAACCTATGGTAGTGTTAATTTTTCTACCAAAGTTGTTTTTGCATAAATTATCATAACTTTTAGCCCCATTTAAAAAACTGTTCTCGGTATTTAGTATCATTTTTTGAAATACTCGGGACTTTTTTGGCCATCTTGAAATAATAAATTATTCTATTCAGAATGCGTAAACAATCAAAAAATAGAGGCAGTAAACTTTATAAATAAATTACTTTCAATACAAATTCTTTATTTGCATAAATTAAATACCATTAACTAAAAAGTTTTTCGGTTTGCCACTAACAACCAATAGGTTTTGTTTTAAATTATCTGTTTGTTTTTTTACGAGTTCGTTTGTTCTATGCCTTAGTTGCATTGAGTAGAAAAAATTTTACTTTTAATTTTGTTTTTTCTACATTTTGAACAAGTTACTAATATTTAATAGTTGAAATTTTTTTCTTTTTAGTTTTATATTATTGTTTTATACATTATTTCTAAATAGGATATTATGCAGTTGCAACAGGAAGTGATAATTCTCAGCAATTCTTTATAAAGAGTCCAATAGTAACTAGTTTTAAAGGTGAAAAGTGTCTAAGTTTTTTTTTCATGCTTAATGGAGCTAAGCTACATATGACTGAAGCATTATCAGTTTATATAATTGAAAACTCAAAACAAGAGATTATTTTTGTTACTGGAGGTCACCAGGGAAACTACTGGAACAGAGTTAGCATTAACATAAAAAATAGAATGCAACAATTTCAAGTAAATACTTTTATGTCACTACCATTTGATTTGATAAAATAAAAAGTGTTTTATAAAAATGTTGAAATATAAAAGTTTTTTATTATAAGATTCCTATGAATTCATTTCAAAGCATTAGCAATAATATGTACTGTTTGTAAAAATTATACTGTACAACAATAGTATACTGTTTGTAAACATAATACTATATAAAAATAATATACTGTTTGCAAAGATACTGTGTATCAATAATATGCTGTTTGTAAACATTATACTGTGTAACAATAGTATACTGTTTGTAAAAGCAAATACATTCCATAACAGAGTTTTCAAATTATTTATTTTTAATTCAATTTAATTTTGATCCATTAAAAGATTTTTTTCATGATACGTCTATTTTATTAGATCATGATTCAAGCAAAGCATATGTATGGTACATCATCTGTTGCTATTGATGACATATTTTTTGATGATAATGCCTGTCCTGCAGGACTCTCAGGTATTCATTTGTTAATAAACAAAATCTTTTTTTTGCATAGATTGTACATACATTTCTCCAATTTTTATATAGGTTGTAAAGATTTAAGTGATAAATGTCCGTCTCTTGTTTTAAATGGTCAATGTGAAAAAAATTGGAGGGCAATGCTTGCAGAATGTTGTGCTTCTTGTTCAAGTGAGTAATTTTGTGACGAGGTTAAGAAATAATTTCGTTTTGATTTTAGTTTTAATTAATATTCTACTTTTTTTTAGATGCTAATTTGATTTGATAAAACTTTGGTTTGAGTATGTAATATTTTAATATTTTATTTATTTATTTTTTTCCACGCCGGGTACATGGCACATCTATGAATTCAAAGTACCTAGAAAAATTGCTTGATCATTCGAGCTATTTACATTAACTCTATGTAGTTTTTCTCAGGTGCTTGGAATATAAAATTGCCAGGTATCTGGCTTGATTTATTCAGATACTTGGCACTTTTCCTAGTATCTGCAATATACCAGAATATACCTTGACTTTGGAATATACTTCATACTTGATACTTTTGAATAAATGCCAGGTTTGACCTGAAAGTTTTTTTTTTTTTTTTTTGTATTACAAAAATGTTCTCGAGAACTCTCTTCAATTTTCTCCAAACAATTTAATAAGTGCTTGACTGAATCTTGTTTTTCAGCTTGCTCAAAATTGGCATCATTGTTTTCAATTTTTCAAAACTCTAGAGATTTTTTCACCCTTCCAATCATCATCTGGTCTTCTTTTTGTTATTACCTTTGAGTCTTTAATCAACAAGTTTCTAACATTTTGAATTAAATAGTTTACTGTCAGACAATCAATACAATTTTCTATCCTCTCGCTCTACAACTGACTTGCTAACTGCTGTGACTGAAAAATTTTATCATGCATTAGATAGAGGCTAGGGCTATTGCTCTTGACATATCTAAAGCTTTTGACAAAGTTTGACATACTGGTCTTCTCCATAAGCTTGCTTTATATGGTGTATCTTGAAAAGTTTTTGAGATTATTAAATCATTTCTTTCTAATCGCTTTATTAAAGTCATCCTTAAAGGCCAACACTATTTTTCATTTCCAGTAACTTCTGGGGTACCTCAAAGTTCTATCTTTGGTCCTGTTTTGTTTCTTATCTACATTAAAAATTTTCCTGACAACCTTACATCTAAAGTATCTCTTTTTGCTGATGACTCAACTTTATACTCTTGTCTTGACAAAAATCTTTTTTTTTCGTTGGCTTGATCTTTAATCTGATCTCACTTCTGTAACAGATTGGGGCTCGCAGTGGCTTGTAACTTCTAACTCCAACAAAACCTAGTTATTTACTGCAAACAACTATCACAATATTGTCAACATTCCTATATTATTGAATAACAACCCTCTCACTGAGTCCTCTTCTTTACATCTTCTTGGATTATCATTTGCTACTGACCTTTCATGGAAACCATGTATATATATATATATATTATATATTATATATACATACATAAATATTATTTAATTCATATTTATGGACTTGTATATAATTTATATATATATATATATATATATATATATATATATATATATATATATATATATATATATATATATATATATATATATATATATATATATATATATAAGTCCATAAATATGAATTTATATATGAGAACATATTTATAATTTATATGTATAAGACATGTTATATATCATCAGAAAGATAATTTTATCAGCTTTCTAATGGTGTATCTTGTCACTTTTTTGAAATTGAGTGAAAAAAATGGCGGATCAAAATGCGAATGTAGGTTTTTCTCATTTTATTTAAAAAATTAAATAAATATGAAATAGTGTTTTTAGATATCATAGCTTTATTATTAAAAAAAAGTGTGGTTTATTTGTCATGATGTTATTGACTGAACAAAGTCTATCAAATGAAAAGTATTGAATTGCCATGATGTTATTGAATGACTGAACAAAAGGAAACTAATATTTCTAAAAGCTTAAGTATTCATTTTATTATAAAAATGAATTTCTTTTTGAAATCGTTGCTATTAGGAAATCAGTTAAAAAAATACTTATTTATCAATGTGTTTGAAACAGCTGTGATTTAAATATTGAATTGGATATAAAAAAATTATTATGAATAGTTGACTGTCTTTTTATTTAATGAAAAGATAATAATGGAATGTGAAATTGAAACTGACATATCAAAGGGAATAACATTGTGTGTAAAATGGGTAGAAGGTGTAAAAGTATATGATCCTTTGAATCATGTAGGTTTGAAGTTTTCTGATTATAGCAAGAAAAAATTCTGACTGCTACTATAGAGCATGCTGTGCTGTTTTGTTTAGATACTTTAGCTCAAACTGAACATAAGAACAAAAGCAAACACTTATATTCATTTATCCTGTAAAAATTTTTTTAAAAATCGCTCTCGAAAAAGATCAATGAAAATCGAGAGAGCATATTACTAGAGTTAAAATGGAACTATTTGATTTCAAAACACAGTGTTTTTATTGTGGTGGTGATTGTATATATGACAGAAAAAATCCAAATTGTAACAAATTTGAAGAAGTACATACAAAAAAATCACCCAAACCATTCTTCCACCATCGAAATATGCTGTAATAAAGAAGACCAACTTTAAAAAAAGCTAAAACTATAGAAGTCCGTTTAATCAGTATGAATGTAACAGCAGAAGTCAGATATCACGTATCATGTAGAGCCAGCTTCAAGAACCCTTTTCCAAAATATTCAACATCTGGACGTCCTACTTGCAATAAAATAATGACATCAATCAATACTATATGTTAATTGTTAGAAAGAGACAGAGAGTTGTACAGCTTATCAGAATTTCATTCGAAAATGATATCAATTAATGATGACGTTTATTCAATAAGAATGACCAAAATCAAATTAAAGGAAATGTATGGTGAGTCTTTACGATTTGGCAAAAGAGAAGGATAAAGAGAATGTCTCTAACGCTGTCAAATAGAAATATAATTCTATTTGACAGCGTTAGAGACATTTTATGTGAAAAATGATACCAAGAAAAAACACAAATGTAAACAAGGAGAGAGAGTGTGTTTACAAATGTAAACGAGGAGAGAGAGTAAGTTTCATTTCATTAAAGTGCTGATATGTATAGCATTTACTTGTATAATAATAAATATGCGTATTATTTATTTTTATCAGAATCCCCAGAATCCGAACAATAACAATATATATGTAATTTTTTTAAGGTTATCCGTTACAAACAGAATGTTGCAAACAGTAAGCTATTGACAAGATCATCTCTGGAGAGGGAATCTCCTTTCTATAATTTGTAGCTGACAACACAGACCATGATACTGCTACTGTTGATGGAAAAAAATAGTACCATGGACTTGGGTCAATTGCAATTGCAAATGGAAAATTCACAGACGTTTCGTTCAAAAGAAATAAAATTCCATGAGATAAACAGGAGCTATGGTCAAACGTAAACGTATAAGTCAAACGATGGGATAATAATTAGGCAGTACTACATACCTGGCATACCTTCATTAACAAAAACAATATTCAAACCAGTCATTCAGTTTTGTTATGCATATTACAATTTTAAAAAATATTTACCTCTACAAAGTTTGAAAACTAATTGTTTTATTTAATTTTAGGAAAAATTTAAGCTCGTTTTATTGATCTTCTATGGAATATTGGCTACCTTTTCAAAAATCCATGTTGGTCTGTCTACATGAGTTCTGCAACAAATAATATTGTAAAACATCTAACATTGCTATACTACTTGTGACACTACTGATTTGACAGCCCTACATTCACTACTTTGCTTCATCATTGATCACTTCAAAAAAGTGAATGTTACAATGCCATCCATAACATTTGATCAGCAGCTTTACATAAAAGCATTCGAAATAGTCTCTACAAAAAACTTAGATATATTTGTTTGTCTTGGGGGTTTCCATCAACTTATGAGTTTTTTAGGTTCAATTGGATGTATGGTAGAAAGAGGTGGTTTGAGAAGCACTCTCGAAACAGTCTATGTCCTTTTAACAGTAGGACACATGCACTCAGAAAAAACATTTTCATGTGCTATACAAGGCCATTTCTTATGTGCATCAGCAATAAATTCACTGATGTTAAAAAACTTTTGAGATGATTCCAATTATAGTGAGCATAAAAATATTTTAGAAATGTATGATTCAGAAGACCCTTTTGTTCAAGAAAGTATTGATTTGGCAATTAGATTGCTAAACTGGTTTACACTGAATAAAGTGTAAACCAGTTTAGCAATCTTTCATTAAACTCACGAACATCATATGGTAACATAATGTACAATACATAACTGTAGTCCAAGAGTTTGTTAAAGCAGAGAGAACAACTGTAGTCTAAGAGTTTATTAAGGCAGAGAGAACAAGTTACTAGTCATTACATATTTCTGCAACAAGGTGCATGCTCAATCTTTTTCCTGTAACAGGGGATAGTAACTTTCCAAAATCGTTTAGGCTTTACCTTCAGACCATTGATGCCTTACAAACAGAATACCCTCTAATTAACTCACAATACATGGCAGGTAATCATATTGTTAGAAGAACCAAAAAAAAATGGTCAGGTATATGGACTGATCTAGCAATTAAAAAGGTTCAAATGAAGTAACTGAAAGGTAGAGGTGAAGTTATTGGTAAAGGTTTGACTGAAAATGTGTTGAGGGGGGAGGGGGGAATGAAAACATTGCATCAATGTGCAAAAGTAAGTGATGCGATAAGCACTCTAACATCTTTGCATAAATTTGTTGACAAACATAAAGAAATATATTCTGAAAGAATAAAATGTGATAGTGACAACTTTAAAAACATACAGTCATGGTTTTTTGTTCATAACCCATTCATGGTCAGAGATCAACTTGTTAGTTTGGACTTGAGTTTGGTTGGTAATTAGAAAATATTACCTATGATCAATCAGAAGAGATAGGAGCATCAATACATAAAGAGCTGAATGGTAAAACCAGTGGTGTGGAGTCGTAAAAAAAAAGTAACGACTCAGACTCCAGTTGTTGAAATTTTTTGAGTATAACTCTGACTCTGACTCCAGTTGTTAAAATGTTTTGAGTACAACTCCAACTCCAAAGCAAATTTTTTGAAAAATTCTTTGAATTCTTTAAAAAATATTGCGTGTTAAGTTGAAATTTTTTATTTGACAAATTTATGAAACATTCTTTGAGGTTTAGTATGAACATAAGGTTAATTGAATGTTTTGTTCATGCACGTGCAATACCAAGAAATTTTACTATTGGAGTCGGAGTCGCGATATTTTTTAGCGACTCCGACTCTGCTAAAATTGTTGCAACTCCGCAACTCCGACTCCAACTCCGCAACTCTGACTCCAACTGAGTAAAACCTACACAAATTCTTTCAAACAAAAAAAGCAAATAACTACACTCCAGAGCTTAAACTTCAGAGTTCCAGATAAAATTGCTACAATCAACCCATTAACATTTCTAAGATTGGTTGTTGTTGTTGAAAGAATGCCAGAGAAGAGTGAAGAGTTACTTTCAATTTGAGTTATCACCATATCCAACATCCTTATTTAAAGGAGGTGTCATAAGATCAGCACAAAAGTCAACATTGAAAACATTCATACCCAATAATGTATCACCAGTAAAAGAACCTGTATCAATATATTGTGGTGCTGCATTAGGAAAAAAAAAAGAGTTATTTAGTGAAATTTTTCAAAAATACATTGATTTGCTTTAACACTTACAACTTAACATGATCTTTTTTGATGGTTTTTAGTCGTCCACTAAAGATAGTATCCACCAAAAGCGATCTAGTAAGATTTCACAAACAGTTGAAATCAATGATCTCAATCCATGCCCAGCAGAAAGAAGTATTTTTCTAAGTTACTACAAAAACAAAAATGATTTTGTCAGGGTTTTATCATTGAAGTTACAAAACAATGGTTTTATTTTTGCAGACACAAGTATTGTTAAGCTAGCGCTTCAGCAAAACCACAATTTTTACAAAGTTAAAAAATTAAAATGAATTGAAATCTACTGCAGATTCATTTTATCAGGAGAACATTCCTGATGATATTGGCAAGGGAGCTATTCGTTTTTTTGAGCTGCTTCATTCATCTTGTTTCAATTGACAGCAGATCAGGAAACATAAATATGATGAAATGGTGGCATCTGGTCATGTAAGTATTGATCCTGCTCTATTACTACCATCACCAAGAGCATATTATTATGGATTCAGAGTTTATCACCAAATGAAAGTATGGAGAAAGTTGAGTGTCGTTGATTTAGATCCATTGATTTCAGGATAAGTAATACAAAATCAAATGCATACACAAATTATGACAGATATAGAAGCAGGTCCTCAAGATATTTTAACATTTTCAGATGTGGCTGCCAAGGTCCATGTGGAAAAACCTGTCAAAAAGCTGGATTAAATTGTACATCATCTGTCTCGGTAAAAATACTCATCTTGGGCAGATGTTAAATGCATCCGGCTACTTGTAGAATGCCTTCTAGGTAAAGACTTAAGAGGTACACAGATTCTATCTGTTGACCAGCCTCACACCCCTTCTTTGGCTGGCGCAGATGTATTTTTAATACATTGTTTCCGGTTTAGGATGTTGAATGAGAGGCTGATTCCATCAACAGCTGAAAAATATCAAAGTATTAACAATGCCATGTTGTGCATGGATAGTGTCCCTGTTCATGCTTTTGGTGTGCATTTTCAAGGCCACATTTGGAGCCCTTTGTTACGTCTTAGGACTTATTTTTAGTAATAAGGCAATTGCTTGGGCTATTAACAGTGTACTGAGTACTGTCTATGCTTTGAGTCAAGTTCTTCAAAAAATTTAAAAATGAATAAAGTACCAAAAACTTTAAAACACAAAAAACCATTGTCATCACCAAGTTCTCTAAACCTATCATTCACTAATATTTGTGGCGTTTGAAGTAACTTTTCTTCTGTTAAGTCTTATCTCTTGCAAAGTTCACCAGACCTACTTGTTCTTTGTGAGACTAGTTTGAGTTCAGCTATCTCATCTTGTGATTTTAGTGTTGATGGTTATCTTCTTTTAATTCGTAAAGACTCTAATAGTCACATGCTTGGCCTGGGCATTTACATTTGTAAGAATTCACCCATTTGTCGGGAAACTAGGTTTGAATCCACAATACTTTTATGTGGTTTTGTTTAGCACCACTTTACACTATTGCCATTCTCTTTGTTCTATATGGATCTCCTTCATCTCAAGACTGCACTCTTTTTGATGTTACTTCTGATCAAATTGACCAAGCTCTCTTTCTTTATCCATTAGCCAATATCGTTGTTGTTGGTGACTATTGCTCATCACACTGAATGGTTTGGCTCTATTGTCAGTGACTATGCTGGCGTTGAAGCCCTCAACTTTTGCCTTTCTCAATCCTTGACTCAAATAGTCAACTTTCCAACTCGCTTTCCAGACAAACCGAATCATTTACCTTCTCTACTCGACCTTTGTCTTGTTTTTGATCCTAGTCAGTGATCAGTTTCTCCACATTCACTCTTAGGTGCTTCTGATCTCTTTAAAACTATTATCTTATTCTTCTTCATCATCTGAATCCGCCTATCATCGTACCTCTTACAACAACCTTAAAGCTGACTGGGACTCTTTCCGTGATTTTCTTTGTGATGGCATTTGGGTAAAAATCTTTCATCTTCCTGCTGACAAATGTGTTTCTTACATAACTGCATGGATTCAGGCTGGTATGGAATCTTTTATTCCCTCTTAATGATTCCAGGTCAAGTCTCACTCTTCTCCATGGTTTTCCTCATATTGTGCTGCTGCGATTTCCAATCGAAACCATTACTTCCATATCTATCAGCAAAGCCATTCTCCAGAAAACAGGTTTATTTAACTGTTTATTTCTGCTAGTTGTAAAAAGGTTTTGTGCAACGCCAAAGCTCGCTATTCTCAGGTCATGAAATCTCTTATTTCATCACAAAAATTAGGCTCTTGTAACTTTAGGAGAACCTTTAACAGGATCAATAAAAAAGGGTAAATCTGTTATTCCACCTCTCTTGTATGGTTCACCTCACCTAAAGATAAAGTTGAATTGTTTGCTAAGAACTTTTCATCAATATCATCTCTTGATTTCACTTGTTTCGTTCTACCTGATTTTGCCGTCAAACAGATTCATTCATTGTTTGAAATTCGTATTACTCCAGCTTCTGTATCTAAAGTTATTTCCTGCTTAGACTCTTCCACAACTTGTGTTCTGGACAACATACCTGTTATAGTCTTGCAGAAGTGTTCTCTGGAGCTGTCATCTATACTTTCAAAACTATTTAACAAGTGCTTATTAGTCTTGTTTTCCGGCATGCTGGAAAGCGGCATCTGTTATCCCTATTTTCAAAAGTTCTGGAAAGCAATCTAATTTATTTAATTAGTCTTCTTCCTATCATAAGCAAGGTTTTTGAATCTTTAGTTAACAAGCACTTAATCTCTCATCTTGAATCTAATAACTTACTTTCTGATCATCATTATGGATTTCGATCTTCTTGTTCTACAGCTGATTTGCTAACAGTAATAACCAATAGGTTTTATCGTGTATTAGATAAAAGCGGAGAGGTTAAGGCCATCGCTCTTGACATTTCTAAAGCTTTTGATAAAGTTTGGCATGCTGGTCTTCTCCATAAGCTTTCTTCTTACGATGTATCTGGTAACAACTTTAAGATTAATAAATCCTTCCTTTCTAATCGTAGTATAAAAGTTGTCCTCCATGGACAGCACTCCTTCATATTCTGCAACTTCAGGAGTTCTTCAAGGTTCAATCCTTGGTCCTATACTCTTTTTAATTTACATTAACGATCTTCCAGATATTCTCACATCTAAGTTGGCATTGTTCGCTGATTATACTACCTTTTATTCTTGTCATGATAAGAAACCAACACTCTTATTTCAAGTCTGGTTCCACAGACAATCACTAAGTTATGCCGTGATTTAATCATAGGCATTATGATTCATTTATAGGCATTATGATTACCCTCTTGGCATGCCCAAGAGGGTGAAAGCATTGAAAGCTGTCAAAAGTGGTCAAATCAAGTATTAAAAACTTTGATATATCTGGAATATATAATCTGTCACTTTATTTTTATGATCGTTTTTGAAGTAAAAAACTTGATTATTATTTAAAAACTAAAAAAACCCATAATAATTTTTCCAGTACAGTATATAGGTATACAGAAGTTATAAACAATTTAGTTTTTTTCTTTGAACTCACAATCTTCACAATCTTTGTAAAAATAACATTCCTTTTGTACAAATCGTAAGTTTTATAACATTGGCTAATTTAAGTAACCAAGATTAAATTTTACATTTGTAAAGATTGTAAAAACAAAAACGCCTCACTTAATATTTATTATAAGTTAGTATCTTTTTTATAAAATCTATTTTTGTATTGTAAATGATTAAAAAAATCATATTATATCTTAACTTTTGCGTAACAAATAGTTTTTACTGCGTATCAAATAGTTTTTAGCTTATTTAAAATGTAAATTATACTACTTTTTAGGAGAGGAAAAAATATCATTTTAATCAAAAATGTAGATAATCTATGCTCTAGAAAAAAAAATTATTAAAAATATTTAGATTAAGCATGGCCTCAAGACACCTCAAGTAAGCCGTTATTGATCGTTGTGGATCCTTTTTTTTCCAAACATGTATTTTGAGGGAAAAGAGGGAGTAAGTAAAATATACACACACACACACACTTATTTCTATCTTTATTTATAGTTTTTGACTAAAAAAAGTAAATTTTTATTTTAGGAAAAGTCGTACGTGGTAACTTAACTAACGGAAATAAAAGTTTTGCTTGAAGTTTTAATTTTATGTAGAAATACGTTTTATAAAATATTTTAATGCTAAAAATGGTATTCTTTTATTTTAAAACAAAAGTCTTTTTAAAAACGATTTTGTTTAAATTGAATATTTGTTTCTAATGAAATAATAAAAATATTATAATAAAACATGTTTTATGTTAAGATACTAAAAATGACATTTCGAAAGTCACGAAAAAAAAAATGCGCGCGTATACTTGTAGGCAGAAAAAACAAATAATCAGAAATTTTCACATTAATATGTTAGTATGTTTTGTTAGGAAAAAAATGTATTCATGCATTGATTTTTTAACAAGAATTAAATTATTTCACCAAGTTGTTGCGTCATTAGTTATTCAAAAAGATGTGAAAACTAATAAAACTTTTACGAGCTAAAGTTATTAACGAGGGTCCTTATCAATATTATCATCTAGAATATAGAGCTTGATAACTATACTGAGAAAATAAATTATAACTCTAAACCACCTAATATTCAGGGCCGTTGTAAGAAAGGGGGATGGTGAAAGAGACAGTTTGTCCCTGGCGGCACATATCTAAGTGGCGCCAAATGAAAAGAAGGACCTTAAAAAAAAAAAAAAAGACCCTTCATCTATAGGGAAATTTTGATAAATAAGTGCGCCCTTCAGGGTTACATCTCAGGCGGCGTGACGGCTCTCGGCGGCCCTGCTTAAATTTGGTCTAGTATTTCTAAATATTTTCAACACAATATTTATAAAGCAGAATTTTAAAATTTTTACTTTCAATTGATATAGTACTAAACTTAATTGAAATATTGAACTTGAAAAATAAGTTGACTTGAAAAAAGTAAACATATTTCATAGTTAAAACTTACTTCACTCACGCCTGATGTTGGAGGACTTTTATTTTGTGCTTATAAATCACAATATTATAAAATTTAACTTCACAATAGCAAGCTTGGTTTAGTTATAACAAATTAATACCATTAAATGAATAATTGGTATATAATAAAAATCAGCTAGGGCAACTAATTTTATATCTCCTGACTGTGGGATTGTGTATCCGACAGATTACTATATCAGAATAAACTTTTATCAGAAACTTAAACCTGGTGGCTATACTCTTGCTGACTGAGTGCTGATTTTTATCTCTTACTGCTGTTGTTCAATAATTATTGTGTTTTTTATGTAAAATGATATGATTGTACATTTAGGTTAAATATTAATTTGTTGAGTAAAGTAAACACCAGTTTGAGTTAAATATTTATTAATTTGCCTTCTACACCAGCTTGAGTTTTAATTTGCTATTATTTATTCATTACACTAGGACTCGATATTAAAAAATCCTATCGAGGCTATATTAAAATTCATAGCTTTTACAAAAGACTGCAATTATTTGGATGCAAAATCAAGACAGCTTTCTAATGTTCCTACACATAATGTTCATGAATTGAACATTATGTAAAGGAACATTAGAAAGCTATGTATAGGAATATCAAACAAATTGAGGATCACTCAATTTGTTAGATAATAACATGTTGAATATGAATGCCTTTGATCATTTTAATATGAGTGTAGCTGATTAGTGTGAATGTATGTAATCAGGGTGTAAATGTATATAATCAGAGTGGCCAACAAATTTTCTATGACTTTTGCCTAAAACTTTAAAATACAAAGCAACAAAAAATATTTTTTTTTTTTTTTACACAAAAATATAAACTTGTTTTATAAGTGCTCTCATTTTAAATTATGCTGTTATTATGAGACTTCTTATTTTGATTGTCAATTCAAATAATAAAATATGGTTTGTAACTAAATGAATCAAAATTCGCTAAATTTTGCATAATTTATTTAATTTCTTGACTTAAGCAGGATGTTCGAGTTGCTGACCACCCTAATTATTTATAAATAATAAAAGTAAATTAGAAAAGCATTATATAATCAATTACAGATTAAAAATCTAAATATATTTTAAAGGAGGGTATTAATTTTAATTTGTCTATTACCTGGTTTAAAAACCTTTCATCGCCTTTTCTACTGTACTGAACTCATTTTGCTCCAACACAAGTGTAAAGTTTTAAAAATTAACTAATTTTTTTACAATGCCACTTTATAAACAGAAAGGTGATATTCACGATATTAATAGTTATCGAAGTATTACTATAATCTCTCCATAAACAAAAGTGTTTGAACAAATAATTGCTAAAAGAATTACTACATACTTTGAACAAAATGATTTATACAATGATGATCAACACGGTTTCAGATTTAATCATTCACGCGAAACTGCGTTGCACGTTCTTATCTCTAAAGTAAAACTAAGCAACTCCAAAAAACTCTTTACATTATTATTATTTATTGATTTCAGAAAAGCTTTTGACTTAGTAGATTCCAAATTATTGATTATGAAACTTAAGCATTACAGCTTTTCAACTGATGCTTTGAACTTAATTAGCTACTACTTTCGTAATAGAAAAATATTTATAAAAGTTATAGATGCATACTCTAATGAAGAACAATTTAAAACCGTTATACCACAGGGTTCAATTTTAGTACCTTTTTTTTTTTTTGGCTTTCATAAATGACCTACCCGAATATCTAACGCTATTTGAATCAACATTATTTGCAGATGATGCAACTCTAATGACAAGTGATACAAATAAAAATTATCTAATTACAAAGTCAGCATTCAATAAATTTACCAAGTGGTGCTATGCTAATAAACTTAAAATCAATTTGGATAAAACAAAAGCAATGATTTTAATAAATATTTTAATAAATAATAATGACACAAATGCTTGGTGTCATTATTAACAGCAAATTACATTTTACCGAACACATAAAAGAGGTAAAAGCAAAAGCTTATAAAAAATTATTCTCAATAACTAATATATTTGGTCTTGCCTTTAAAGTTCGTTAACAATTCTTCAAAACATTTATTCTACCTAACTTTGATTACTGTTCAAGTCTTATAATTTACTACACAAGAAAAGAAATTCAAAGCCTTAGCAATCCATACTATATGATTTTATTCTTACTACTCAAAATTAATATTCAAAACAAAGATATAGAGGAAAGCGGGGCAACATGGAGAATGGGGCAAGATGGGTTTTCATATAACAACTCAATAAAAAATCTTAAAAATGGGTGAAAATGAAACTGTATTTGCATTTTGTATTTTAAAACACCAATTGGTTTTTTGAAATATTATTAACGCAATTTTATACACATAAGTTTACTTTTTGCGCCTAAAAAAAAATTCCTCACTTTCGGTTTCTCATAACGGATAATGTCCTTCAAGTTTAAATTCTTTAGAAGTAGTTTTTGGTGATTTGTGTTACTTTAGTTAGAGTTATTGGTAGTTTTTAAAATTTTATAAAATTGAAGGTAAAAATTGAATAATAAGTCATCTTGCCCCGGTCACGTGACCAGATGACAAATTTAAGAACTTTTTATTTTAATATTTATTTCAAATTGTTATATTTGCAAACGGAAATTTTATGCAGGGAATAAATCATTTTAATAACATAAACATACTCAGAAAGTATTATTGCTTCACGACTGATAGTTTTGCAATAACTCAGGCCTTTCAAAACGTTCGCCATGTTGCCCCGCTTTCCCCTATATCAAATGAATAAACAACCATACAACCTACACAGTTTTCATCATCGATTTATAGAGCACTACAACTATGCAATGAAATAATTTATTAAAAGAAACCAATTAACTTATACTACACTTCTATTCAACAACAATGGTAAAAGACATATAATATATATATATAGTCCATAGAATAGAAATTAAAAAATGCGTATAAAAACATTACTATATATGCGTATAAAAACATTACTATATATGCATATAAACATTACTATATATGCATATAAACATTACTATATATGTATATAAGCATTGCTATATATGTATATGCGTATAAAAACATTACTATATATGCATATAAACATTACTATATATGTATATAAACATTACTATATATGTACAGTATGGACCAAAAAAAACTGGCCAAGATGTTTTTGCAGAAAAATTTACATTTTATGGGTTTTAAAAGCATTTCTCAGATATTTAAACCAATATCTCAACTTTTTGCGTATTTCTTGTTTATTTAAATGTCTTATATCTTATTTCTTATATTAAAAAAGAGTTTCATATTGAGTATAAGTTAACTTTTTTTTCTTTTCTCAACAATTTCTTATTTGGGCTCTTATTTTTCATAGTTATGGTTAAATAACTCTTAAGTTATTTGATTATTTTGTAATAAAATATAAATTGTAGATAGACAGGGTTAACCTTACCCTAACCCTGTATATATAAAAAAATTCTAAGATGTATTTATTAATGATGAAATATGCTAATTTATTACATTTTAGACTAGATAAATATATAATATATAAAAATGGTTTTAAATGCCATTAGTAAAGGAAGAATTATTGAGATGTCATCCTTTGGTATGACTCATAGAGATATTGCAAGCAAGGTTGGATGCGGAAAAAGTACTGTTACCTATTGTCTAAAGAAGTATAAAGAGACAGGAGAAACAGTCCGTCAATCAGGATCAGGAAGAAAGAGAAAAACTTATAAAAGAGAAGATAGACAAGTTGTCCAAGCTGCCCTTAAAAGTCGCAGATTTTTAAGGGCAGCTTCTACAGATGGGATAAAAGCAGAAACTGTATTACCAATATTAAGCTGCCCTTAAAACCTGCACTTGCATTCAATTGTTTGAAACATAGTCACATCGTTGTAATGTTGTTTCTCTTTCTCTTTTCCAGGAATACTATAATGGGTGCTGTTCTAAAAAGTTAGCATCTCTTGTGCCATCAACTAAAATTCATTCTTGTGTTATGACATAATAGAATGACTAGTCATTTTATTATGTATAATACTTTTATTGTGACTGTTTCTAAGTGCTTCAAAAATTCTTATTTATTTAGTTTTTTCTTCAATCATCAGTTCTTTGGAGTTCGCTTCCTTCATCTAGTTTACCTAATTCATATAGTTTGCAATCTTTTAAGTTGTCTGTTAATCGTTATCTTGCTTTATAAATTTCATTATTTCT